GGAGACCCGAGTGGATCTTTGTTGCTTGGTATGTTAGATTTTGGGTGTGATATTGGGTATAGACTGGTTGTCTCAGTGTTGTGTTATGCTGGGCTATTACGCCAAAAAGGCGACGTTGACTATGCCGAGAATGCCACGGATTGAGTGGCAAGGTTCGACGGATTATGTTCACAGCAAGGTGATTTCATTTTGAAGACCCAGCGAATGGATCAGAAGGGTTGTCTTTCTTATTTGGCCTTCGTGATGGGTGTCAGGGTTGTTGATTTCGGTATTGATATGGTGCCGGGCACCGTATTGTATGGCACTGGCGGAGTTAAAGGAATTTAAGGAACAACTTCAGGGATTCCTTGATAAGGGGTTCATTGGCAGGCCAATGGGGATGCGTGTTCTAACTTGAGTCGGCTTGGTTGACTCCGAGTTGAATTGTTGAGAGATGTGTTGATTCGGTTGTTATTGAGCTGTTAGTGTTCTGAGGTGATCTATGAGTTACCTTTCCGTGTCGCGAAGCGTTGGGATTTGTTGGTTATAGGCACATGTGGTGCGATTTTATTGGGGTCTCTCAGTGGAATTTGAGCGGGAAGAGTATTGGGTATTGCTCGGCGGATGGCGTATCCGTTGTGTCCTTTCGAGTTTGTGCAATGTTATGTCAATTGCTTCGCCGTGGTTATGATGATTTCTTTGGTTCTAGACATCAAATTTCGAGTGGTTGTCGATTTTGAGCATAGTGACTTGAGGTGTTCCATGTGGACCAGTATTTTGATAGGGTCGCGCATTTCAGCGAAGTTATGTGGAGGTATGATCCTTCGGGTTAGATTCGTATGTTCTGTTTCTACGATGTGTGACGGGTTCTCAGCATTGTGTGTGGTGGGACTGGTGAGCTTGCGGTATAGGTCTCTCCATTTAGTCATTTTTCATGATTTGAATACGTTCGGATTGTTGCTTATTGGTGCGCGGGTTGCACGAGTTGTGGCTGTAGATTGTATTGATGTGTCATGTCCCCAGAGTAGTTGTGTTGGATTAGATGAGATCGTTGGGATCTAAAATGAATACAAACGGATTCGGTTTCAACGTGTTAGAGGGATCATATCGATGATCGGCTCAGAAATTTGCTATGGTCCTTGCTAATGAGGAAGTGGCTTCATGGATGGTTGATCTGACGAATGGTTATTGATTTTCTATGTGTTTCATTTATCATTGGCAGTATATGAAAGTGTTGGAGTGAGACTTTAGTTGATAAGAGGTTTACTATCAGTATTCGGTTGTTGTGTGCAGCTGTTGTGATTCAAAGTTATCGCTGCAAGTGTTTGAGTTATGGGGTATATCATGTAATTGCACCTGAGGTTGTAGGTATGGGTTATTACAGCTTGTTCGGGATTATTCAGAGTATCGATGTGAGATTCTGATCTTGTGGATGATTTCAGAAGTGGAAATGTGGTTCTAAGGTTATGGGGTAGGTTGGATTACGAAATTTTAGTTATATTGTGTTATTGGACCTATATGAGATAGGGTGAGGTGGGTTCACCCCCGGGTATGTGCATGGTAAGGTTATTCAGCGATTGATTGGCTTTTGGAACAACTCTGGGCACGTTCGAGGACGAATGTATGTTTAAGTGGGGGAGGATGTAACGACCCGACCGGTCGTTTTGAGCTTTTGCACTTCGCTCGCCAGTTCTCGGGCATGTCTAGCCCCGTATTATGCATTATGACTTATGTAAATCGTTGGTTTTAGTTTCAGGGTAATCAGAATGAATTGGAAGAACAGTTCTCAACTTGAAGCTTGAAATTTGAAAGGTTTGACCAAGTTTTGACTTGTTGGTATATGATTTCGGATCGGGATTTTTATGATTTGGTTAGCTCCGTTAGGTGATTTGGGACTTAGGAGCGTGGGAATGCATTTTGGAGGTCCGTGGAAGGTTTAGGCTTGAATTGGCGAAATTGAGATTTTGGCGGTTTCCGGTTGATAGGTGAGATTTTGATATAGGGGTCGGAATGGAATTCCGAAAGTTGCAGTGGTCCCGTTGTGGCATTTGGGATGTGTGTGTAAAATTTCAGGTCATTCGGACGTGGTTTGGTATACTTTTTGATCAAAAGCGGAATTCGAAAGATGTTAGAACCTTAGGCTTGAATTCCATGTATTTTGGTGGTTTTGATGTTGTTTGAGATGTTTTAAAGGTTGGTATAAGTTTGAATGGTAGTATAAGACTTGTTGGTGCTTTTGGTTGAGGTCCCGGGAGCCTCGGGGTGATTTCGGAGGGTTGAGGGAAGGTTTGGAATTGAGTTTGAGAGCTGAAGTCTTTTGATTGCTGTCATAACCGCATCTGCGGTTGAAGGATCGTAGGTGCGACCACCGTAGATGCGGATAAGAGTCGCAGAAGCGGAAATGGTGAGGTTGGCAAGAAACCGCAGAAGCGGTTGGTGAACCGCACCTGCGATGGCGCATGTGCGGCTGGTGCATCGCAGATGCGGAAGGCTGGAGGATAAGTGAGGACCGCAGAAGCATATGCGATACAACAGAAGCGGTAATATGGCCGCAGATGCGGAACTCCTGGACCAGAAGTATATAATATTTCCCTTCGCGAATTTTGGCTAAAAACTCCATTTTTGGAGACGGGAAACGAGCTAGGGCAGAGAATTCAAGGGAAAATCAAGGTGAATCAGTAGGGTAAGTTCTCTAAGCTTCATTACTCGAGTTTATGATCATTTTTCCATGGATTAATCATGAAATTAGTGGAAATTAAGGGTAAAAATTGAGAAAAACTAGGGCTTGGTATTGGAGACCTAAACTTGAGGATTTGGAGGACCATTTGTGGTTGGATTTTGGAACTTTTGATATGTATGAACTCGTGGGGAGATAAGGAACCTAATAATGTAAAACTTATCGAATTCCGAGACGTGGGCCCGGGGGGCGAGTTTTGATAATTTCAAAATTTGCATTGTTTTTCGATTATTTCGAGTGGGCTGCGTCCCTTTAGCATATTTTGATGATTACGTTCTGATTTTGGTAGATTCGGAGCATCCGGAGGCCGATTCGAGGGGAAAAAGCATTGTGAGCTAGAGTTTGGGCCGGATTGAGGTGAGTAATGATTTTAAATGTTGTCCTGAGGGTATGAAACCCGAATTGCACATCGTGGTGCTATATTGAGGTGACGCACACGCTAGATGACGAGCGTGGGGTCGTGTACTATTGGGGATTGTGACTTAGTCCATCTCGAATGATTGTTTTCCGCGTATCTGATTGGAAACTATTTGTTATCATTATGTTTTGGGCGGAATGCCATATTTGGGCCATGTGCCAACTATTTGGACCCTTAGGGGATTTTTACTGATATTTCCTCACTATTTGACTTTATTCTTGTACTCAGTCATGTTATATACCACTGTTTTCATAACTCAGCCATGCTTACTCTGTTTAAATACATTAAATGATATTTTTAAATGACAAATGGATTGAGCATCATGTTTTACTGTTGCCCGAGAGGCTTATGAGATTCTGACTGAGTAGGTCGAGGGCCTGAGATATTGTACGCCACGAGGTGGCTTGTTGATTATGAGCCGAGGGCCTGAGATTTTGTATGCCACGAGGTGGCTTGTTGATATGAGGCCGAGAGCCTATGTGATTATGCCACGAGATGGCTTGATATTGCGCTTGGGCCGTGAGGGGCCCCTCCAGGAGTTTGTACACCCCCAGTGAGCGCGGGTGCCCAGTGTGATGATTCTGTTTATTATGTGAGGCCGAGGGCCGGATTGGTTATGCCACGAGATGGCTTATTATTGCGCTTGGGCCGCAAGGGGCCCCTCCCAGAGTCTGTACACCCCCAGTGAGCGCGGGTACACATTGTGATATGAGATATAGCCCGAGGGGCTGGTGTTGTTCTATTTTATTGCCCGAGGGGCTGATTCTGCTGTTATTGTGTCCGAGGGGCTGGTATTGTTCCATGTGTTTGCCCGAGGGGCTGCTTCTGTTGGTATTGTGCCCGAGGGGCTGATTCTATTGATACTGTGCCCGAGGGGCGGTTCTTTACGGGCCTATCTTTTCTATTTGCTTGTCATTTACTTGCTTAACTGTTAAAAAGGCATTTTGAAGAAGCTTAAATTGAACTAAAGTGACTTTACATATTTTCACTGTTTCACTGTTTTTGCTGGCTTTCACTGCTTCTTTATAGCCTGTTGATGTGCCTTTACGCGATTTCTTATTGCTCAGTCTGCATTTATTTTTATTACTTACTTAGTTGGAGTACTCACTTTATTCCCTGCACCTTGTGTGCAGGTTCAGGTATTTCTGGACCCGGTAGCGGGTATTGGTTGCTCAGATGCAGAGTCATCGGAGTTTAGCAAGGTAGCTGCCCGACGTCCGTAGCACTACTTTTCTCCCTCTTTCCTTCCTTAGACCGTGTTTAGTATATTTTAGATTCTTAGTTGTGTTCAGACCTTAGTAGATGCTCGTAACTTGTGACACCCCGATGTCGGGCTGTGTTGGTTATTTTTCCGCAAATTGTGCTATTTCACTTATATATTGGGATTATTAGCATGTTAATGACTTAAACTGTATTATTATAATTGTTTAAACTGGAGTTGTGTCGGTTGGCCTTGTCTTCACGAGAGACGTCATCACGACCGGGTCTGGTTTAGGGTCGTGACATTGGTAGCATGGTTATTCCAAAATATGCTGATCCTAAGACAATTTACACACCAAAAGACATACAAACTTATATGTTTTCTGAACACGGCGTGAACTTAACATATATGCAAGCTTGGAGAGCAAAGGAAAAGGATTTGGAGTTTTTGAGAGGTCATCCTGCTGACTCCTACAACAAATTGCCTAGTTATTTGTATATTCTGGAGAAGACTTATCCGGGGTCTGTAGTTTAATTGAAGAAGACGGACGATGATTGCTTCTTGTATGTATTTGTTGCGATTTGTACGTCAATCAGTGGTTGGGAATATTGTAGGCCAGTTGTAGTAGTTGATGGGCCTTTTTAAAGTCAGCATACAGGGGAATAATGCTAACAGCTAGTACAATGGATGCAGCAGGTATTGTAGTTTTATTGTAGAAATATTGTAGCTTGTCTCTTTTTTGTAGTACTTGTAGATTTATTGTAGATATATTGTTGAAAAGTTGTAGTTTGTATGTATATGTCTTCCTCTGCATTTTTCCTGCAGCCAATTAATTATTATTTGCCACATAATGTAGGTACCATATTACCATTGGCATATGCTGTTGTTGATTCAGAAAATGACGCATCATGGAAGTGGTTTTTTGAGCAATTCAAACATGCATATGGTGAAAGACCAAATATGTGTGTTGTTTCGAATCGGAATGAGAGTATCTTGAAGGCAACATCTATTGTTTATCCCGACATGCCACATTATTCTTGCATGTGGCATATTTGGACAAATATAAGGGCAAAGTTCAAGAAGGGTCATCTAAAGTTAAGCGAATTATACTTTGCCACGGAACGATCATACACGCTTGATCAATTTAATGAAAGGATGTCAAAGATTGAAGAGATTGACCCGCGTGTTAAAGCATACTTATACGATATTGGCTGCCATAGATGGTCTCGAGTACATGCTACGGTGAACAGAACTTGGACTATGATATCAAACATTGCAGAGTCGTTGAATGCTGTAACAAAATACGCAAGAGAGCTGCCGATAGTAGAACTATTAGAGTATATGAGGACTCTTCTTGAACGTTGGACGAAGGAAAAGTTATTGAAAGCAAAGGGTACATTCACATACCTTGGGTTTAAATTCAACAAAGAGTTGGATGACAACAGAACATTGTCGCACAAGCTTAGAGTAAGATATGATCATTTATTGCATCAAATTAATTTATACAGGACAATGTAGATAATTTGTATTTAACCGTATATGAATTATTTTTGTTTGTAATGTAATTGTAGGTGAGGGCTTCAACAGACTACATCCATACAGTACTAGATGGTGTGAGGCGCTATATTGTTTGTCTTGCAAACAAGAGATGTAGTTGTGGGCAATTCCAGCTTGATGAACTTCCTTGTCCACATGATTTGGCTGCTTTAAGACACAGGGATGAGTCTTTTGAACAATATTGTTCTCCTTATTACACAAGGAAGAACCTATTGTGTACTTATGAAATACCAGTAAATCCCCTGCCTGAAGAAAGCAAATGGAATGTGCCACAACATATATCTGAAGAAGTAGTAAATCCACCTACAGGAGGAAAAAGGCAGCCAGGAAGACCTCAAAAAGAAAGATACAAAACATATGATGAAATAAATTCAAAGAAGTACAAGGTTTCATGTGGCAACTGCGGAGAAGAAGGGCATAACAAAAGATCTTGTAAGAACCCACCCAAAAAAAATAAAATTTTATGTAGTTAACAGAATATTTCATAAAAATTGTTGGTGAGTTCAGGATAAGAGAATTTGATGTGTAATTGTTGAGGTTTTTTAAGATCATAATGTAGTTAGTTAGGATCTTTCTATATTGAGATAATACTTTCATAGAGTGATTCGTTTATGAATGGTTTCTATATATATAATCTACCACTTTTTTACTATCTCTAGCATCCTTTACATAGTTGTTAATATTTTTTTGCAATTTATCTACAATACAACTACAAAAAATTACATTAACTGGAATTGACAGAATAACTACATTATAAATCAGTAGGAAATGAGTTATATACTAAAATATTGTAGATCAAGTACTGTTTACATTTAACAAATGAATATAAAAGCAACAAAACACATTGTTAAATATTTGCTACAAATTATCTACAAATTCAACTACAAAAAAAACTACAATAGCTGGAGCTGACATAATAACTAGATTATAATTCAGCTAGAAAGAAGTTATATGCTAAAAATAACGTAGATCAGGTACTGTTTACATTCAACAAATTGAATGTAAAAGCAACAAAATATTTAGTTATTGATTTTTACACTTTATCTACAGAAAAATAATAAAATAACTACATATTTTTGCGTTGACAGAATAACTGTATAAAAATTCAGCTGGAAAGGATTTATATGCTAAAATAATGAAGATCAAGTACTGTAAACATTCAAGAAGTGAATATAAAACCAACAGAATGTTTCCATTTGAACTACTATACTGGATAAGAAAAAAAAACAAAGGCTACTATAATTGTAGCGCAAGTCTGCTACAATTAAAACACAACAATATTGTTCAAAAACTTGTCTACCATCTTTCTTCTAGATAGCATCAACTAAACAATTGTACTACATGTTCCATACAATTACAACAACTTCTTCTTCCTCAGGACTCGTGTTTTCTCATTCAAAGCTGGTGCACCTTTTCTCCTTGCCAATTTGCCAGTCACCTCACTTTCACTGATTGGCCCATGCTCCTGCTTCTTTCTAGCATAGTCCCAAAGTAGCGCTCCATAGCGTCTACGATGTTGGTCAATTTCGGAAAGGTCTTCTTCCGGAATTGATAACTCTCCAAGACTAACATACTCTGCAAAGGCAGCAACAAATATACCACAATCGCTGCAAAGATAAAAAATGTCAATATTTACCAAACGTTTAGAAAAAAAGGGTTAAATGTATAGAAAGAAAGAAGATTTTTGTTACAGTGATCCTTCTTTTTGCTGTGGTATCTCTCCGACGATACACTGAATGTTAAGAGGGTTGGTAACAGCTTTTTCAATGTATGCCTTTGTATTCTTAAAGTTGATGTCTTTACGCTTCCCATAAAAACCGGTGCATGACAAATACAAAGGGATAGTAATAGAAAACTTGTCGACACAAGATTCAACAATAGGGTGATTGCGTGAAGACCATGGAATCATACGCATAAAGTTACGTGTCTGCAATGTCAAAAACAACCAACACCCAGTGGAATTATTCTACAATGTTGACGGGTATGATGAGATAATCAACTTCATCCCATGCAACATTTGCTAGTAGTCTATACCCCAATATATATTCTGCTACAACGTCCTGGGGTTTGACAACATAAAACTTCTTTTCTTGAGGAGAATTTGGAACTTTTCATAAATTTGTTCAATCCTAGTCTTGAACAAACAATCTGTTGTAGTAAACCTGGTCTTGTTGTGGGGGCCATACTTGCCTCTTTTCCTCATGTGACGACCCGACCATAATCTCATGAGTTACTGCTCCATTCCCCCCCCCCATTTCTACTTCTTTATGCTTTGTTTATCCATGTTTGTGGTATCGGGTTAGTCGGATCGAATCCGGAATGATTTTGGTAAGGATTGAGACACTTAGTCTCTTTTGAGAAAGCTTGAATTGGAAAAATCAACCGGATGTTGACTTATGTGTTAGAAGTCTCGGATGTGAGTTCCGATGGTTCGGTTAGCTTCGGGAGGTGATTTGAGACTTAGGAGTTTGATCGTAATGGGCTTTGGAGGTTTGGAGTAGATTTAGGCTTGAATTGGCAAAGTTGATATTTTGGCGATTTCCGGTTGGTAGGCGAGATTTTGATATAGGGGTCGAAATGGAATTTCAAGAGTTTCAGTAGCTTCTTATGTCATTTGGGATGTGTGTGCAAAATTTCAGGTTATTCGGACGTGGTTTGGTTGGGTTTTTGATCAAAAGCGGAATTCGAAAGATTTTTAGAAACTTAGGCTTGAATTCGATGTGTTTTAGTTGATTTGATGTTGTTTGAGGTGTTTTGAAGATTGCAACAAGTTTGAATGAGGTTTTGGGGTATGTTGGTGCCTTTGGTTGAGGTCCCGGGGGCCTCGGGTGAGTTTCGGAGGGTTGAACGGATCATTTGAAGTTGAAGAAAGTTGCAGATTTTGGCCTTCAGCAGTTGCAGGTAACTGTCTCTTCGCGAAGAGTCAGTTGAGGAAGGCAAAGATTAAGCCTTCGCGTTCGGGATGGGAGCTCCGCATTCGCGAAGGGCTAAGGATTGATGCATCGCGTATGCAGGATAGGTGTCGCGTTCGCATAGAAGGAATTGAGAGTGCTGAGCTTCAGTGGAATTAACTCATCGCGTTCGCGATTGATGGAGCGCGTTCACGAAGGTTCACCTGGGCTAAGCATCGCGTTCGCGAGGCTTAGGTCGCGATCGCGTAAGAGGAAATTTGTCAAAGTTGAATTGTGCATCGCGAACGCGAGGCTTTGACCGCGTTCGTGAAGAAGGATTTTTAGGCCTGGGCAAAAAGTTTAAAAGGTCGTCTTGTGCGCGAATGTGGGGTTTATTTTCTCCATAGTAGGTCATTTTTGGAGCTTTTTGAAGGAGATTGAAGAGGGATTCAAGGGGAATCACCTGGAGGTAAGATTATTGGTCTTAAAACTCGATCATTATGTGAATTCCACCTAGTAAATCATGGAAATTAAGCCAAAAATTGAAAAACTATGGCTTGGAAATTTAGACCTTTGATTGAGGATTTGATGGACCATTTGAGGTCGGATTTCTGAACTTTTGATATGTATGAACTCGTGGGCAGATAAGAAATCTATTGGTATAAAAATTATTGAATTCCGAGATGTGAGCCCGGGAGTCGGATTTTGGTAATTTCGGGATTTGTGTCAATTATTGATTTTTTTCGCTTGGGCTTCATTCCCTTAGCATATTTTGACATCCTCGTTCTAATTTTGGATAGATTCGACGCGCGTGGAGGCCGATTCGAGGGGCAAAGGCGTCGCGAGCTAGAGATTTGACCGGTTCGAGGTGAGTAATGATTGTAAATGATGTTCTGAGGGTTTGAAACCCCGGGTTGCACATCGTAGTGCTATATTGAGGTGAGACACACGCTTGATGACGAGCGTGGGGTCGTGCACTATTGGGGATTGTAAATTGGTCCGTCCCGATTAATGATTTTACCGCGTATTTGACTGAAACCTATTTGATATCATCATTATTTGGGCTGAATGCCATATCTGGGCTTCGTGCCAACTATTTGAACCCTTCGGGGATTTTTATCGATATTTCCTCACTGTTTTGACTTATTACTTGAACTCAGTCATGTTATTTTCCACCGATTTTCATACTCAGCCATGTTTACTCAGTTTTAATACTTAAATGATATTTTAAATGATGTTTGGGCTGAGAAACACTATTTTACTATTGCCCGAGTGGCTTGTGAGGATTTTGACTGAGCAAGGCCGAGGGCCTATGTTGTGAGGAAACACTGATATTGATTTGAGGCCGAGGGCCTGAGATTTGTATGCCACGAGGTGGCTTGATATTGATATGAGGCCGAGAGCATGTTATGATGCCACGAGATGGCTTGATATTGCGCTTGGGCCGTAAGGGGCCCCTCCAGGAGTCTGCACACCCCCAGTGAGCGCGGGTACCCATTGTGATGTGAGATTGAGCCCGAGGGGCTGGTATTAATATTCCGAGATGTTGCCCGAGGAGCGGTTTTGTTGATACAGTGCCCGAGGGGCGAACCTTTTCGTGTTTATTTTTCGTATTTGCCTGTCAATTATATGCGTAGTTGATGAAAAAGGATCTCTATTTACCTTTTATTTGGTTTACTGTTTATGAATGATTTAACTGCTTCATTATAGAATGCCTTGTGCCTTACGTGTTTTCATGCTTTCAGTCGTTATTTACATTTGTTACTCTCTGAGTTGGAGTACTCACTTTACTCCCTACACCCTGTGTGCAAATTCAGGCGTAGCTGGTTCCGCTCCCGAGTGTTGATCCTTCCAGCTTCAGGCGGACAGTCGGAGTACACGAGGTAGCTGCCTGGCGTCCGCAGTTTCCGTGTTTCTCCTCCTTTATCATTTCTATCTTGTTTCATACAGATGTACTAGTTTACAGACTTAGCAGACTTGTATTATGACTTATAGATGGTCATGACTAGTGACACCCCGGTTAGGGCTGTGTTTGGGTTATACTTCCGCATTGTTATGATATTATTTGCTACGTAGTATTATTAAATCACGTTTTAGACTATTTTCTTGCTGTTTAGCTGTTTAACTTCGAATTGGGAATAGTCGGTTGGCCTTGTCTTCACGAGAGGCGCCATCACGACCGGGTCCGGGTTTGGGGTCGTGACACCTCAAGTAATACATTATAACATCAATGTGCTGCAACAAAAACAGATTGCCTTTATACTACAAGTTATCTTCAAATAATCTACACAAAACTACAAAATAACTACAATTACATTACAAACAGAAAACAAAGCATCTACAATCAGAATACAAATTATCTAAAAAATATCTACAAATCAAATACATTGAATCTTACCGAGTGATTAAGGACTTGTCCGGGGTGTGCCAGGAAAAAGAACCACTCCTTCTTGTCAACCTTTTCCACTCCAAGATCTAACCATGGCTTAATTTGGTTGTCCTTTATAGAATACAGAGCCCTCCTCCTATATAAACAAATAGAAATTAAAATAAAATTGTTGAATGATAGTAAATAACCAAAGCATGTCTTCTCGAATAGCTTCAAAACATTTGGAGACAAAAGCTCTTTAATTTGGTTAGGAATGCTAGGGTCACATAATGTCTGGAATCTAAGCACCCCATAATCAACATTATGGGATGCAAAAAAATGTCCATTCTGCACAAAATATAAATAATCTCACATTAATACAGTGCTTAAAAAACATAGATACATTTGCAATTTATCTACAAAATAACTACAAAAAATATACAAAATATCTACAATTTTAAACAGATCAATAAAGCTACAATTAATCTTCAAAAATGAAGACAAATAATCTCACATTAATTCAGTGCTTAAAAAACATAGATACATTTGCCATTTATATAAAAAAAAATAACAAAATATCTACAATTTTAAACAGATCAATATAGCTACAATTAATCTTCAAAATGAAGACAAATAATCTACAAAGCAGAAAAAACACAGATTATGTAGATTTTTAACAACTAAAACAAACGAAATAACTAGTGAAGAAATTACTAAATTCTTACCTTCACTAATGACTGTTTTCGAACATTTTTAGGAGATTTAACAGTAGGGGCTTTTTTTGAAGTTTTCTTCTTTTTGGGAGTTTTTGAACTGGGAGACACCTTCGCTTTCTTTCCAGGTTTACTGATAGGCACATCTTCTACAAAATCATCATCGAACAATATCTCTTTTCCTTTCCTTTTCGCTTGTTTGATTGGCCTCGAATATTCTCCAGCATCGAAATCATGTTTTTGTTTAGTTCTAGCTTCAGCCGTGATTTGATGCGGAGAAAGACTATGCTTCTTATCTACAATTGCATGTGTAGATTTTCCATGCTTTTTGGGTGAATGTGGTGATAATACGCCCAAATCAAAAGAAGGTATATCAGCTTCTCTAGCTTTTTTAGGGCTGTGCTTTGAAGGTTTGTTCTTCTTCATTGAGAAAATTTGAAGCTGAAGGTAAATGTATATATGAACTTTGAAGAATTGACTTCAATTTTGACTGGTTGTAGAAGAAAAAATTTGAAATTGGACGTTAATGGTGGGGGTTACATATGTTTCTCTGGTTTTAGCAGAGGAAATAATGGGAAAGAAACGTGGGTGTGGGGTGATACGTGGGTGAGGGTGTGGGTTTGGAAGAGAGAAACGTGGGGGAAGGGGGGGGGGGGGGGTATTTGGAGGAATATACGGTACCATTAATTTAGGAGGGATATACGGTACCATTAATGTACGGTTAAAACACATATGGTATATAATTGATAATTAGGTATACTAAATGTAATTATATCAAACCTAAAACATTGAGGGTAATATAGTTTACTATATGGCATAGGAATGTAAAAATTCCTTAAAAGTAAGGGAGAAATTAAAAAATAGCCAAATTTACAAGTGGTCATTCAAAAATAGTCACAGTTTCAAAAGTAATAAAATTTAGCCACTTTTCCTGTAAAGATAAATCTGAACAAAAACACTATTCAAAATCCGAAAAAATACTCTAGTATATTATACTGGAGTTCCAGCATAAGTATACTAGAACTCCAGTATAATATACTAGTGTTCCAATATAATATAGCGGTCTAGCATAATATACTGGAAATTCGAGCACCGGTGCTCCAATCTCCAGTATATTATACTGGAACTTTCTGCCTGTTGGAGTTCCAGCATAATATGCTGAAAGTTCATACACAAGTGTACCAATCACCAGTATATTATGCTGGAACTTTCTGTGTTGCAGCAAAATAGTGGCTATTTTTCAATGACTTTGCGGATGTTGGCTATTTTTGAATGACCAGTCCGAAAACTGGCTAGCCCGTGCTATTTTTACTAAAAGTAAATGTATTGCCCATGAAGCAAGCGAGAAGCAACACTTGTTAAATTGAAGTTCTGCCCATTAAGCAAGCGAGATAAAAAAAATCAAAAGTGACACCAAAATGTCCTATTTGTGCAAATCACCCATCCAAAATATGTATAGCGTTAAAGTTGGCTCTTCTGAAGTCATATGTCGCCTTGCCAATCATTCGCTATTTTTGGTAAAATGGCATGAATATGAATCTTCATTTACCAGATTACCATCAACTCAATGAAATTTCGTAAACCTTTTTCCCCTTTGTTCTGTGTTGTTTGAGTCAAACTGTGAAAATTCAAGAACCACTGTTGCCATCAAAAAATTAATAACAAACAGATATACATAATTCCTCATTGAAATAGAAAACATTTCTTAGATTTAATCTCTTCTTGTCCATCTTCTGGATCTCCCTGTTCTCCAAATAATAGCATGAGGGTCTGGACAAACTTGGTATGGAATTCTTGGTGGGCCAACTTCAGGGACACTGCACACATTTCAATTATCAATAGTTTGTGGGCCACAAATCTTCTTTGTTTATCTTTTTTGGGGTCGTTTCATTGATGATTTATCCATAATATAATCCTCCAAATATTGCTAAAATTATGTATCCTCTCAGTCCTAATAATAGATTGATGTATACATTATCTCAATTTTAGATTACAGAATATAGAAATTTCAATTTTCATAATTTTAGAAAAGCATGTAAGAGACCTGACTTCTTGAAAGAAGAGAATTTTTTTATTCATATCAGATGTTTATACCAATTCAATAAGTATATAACAGGTGCCTTTTGAATACAAGTTTATCACTTTATCGTAGTATTCTGATATCAATTCATTACTTAACTATGATAAATTAATATAATTTGTTGTAGAAATTAAATTTAAAAAAAAAAAAAAAAGACAGCCTGGTGCATTAAGTTTTCGCTATGCGCGGAACCGGATCACAAAGGTCTATTGTATGCAGCCTTACCCTAGATTTTTTGTAAAAGATTGTTTTCACGACTCGAACATGTGACCTCCTGATCCTGTGACAGCAACTTTACCAATTACGCCAAGGCTCCCTTCAACAGGATATTGATAAATAATTTTCCTAAAAGCTGCATGACCTAATTTTAATGACCACAACAAATGGATGTTTTCCAACATGAGCTGTCAAGATGACAGGTAACAAATTCATTTAATTCTTGATAGCTTTTGCTTGTAGTGGAAACCCTGTCCTTAATTTCTTTGTCTACAGCTATATCATATTGCTTTATTTAGTCCTTTTTCACACACAACTTCACTTAGGAAAATACAATTTTGTTTACCACTTTAAGCTAATGGTTCCATAAACAAAATAGAAGAAGATAGGGAACCTTATCATTTTAATTTTTTAGTGCGATTATATACAAGAGTTTGGACCACAGATTAGTATATGGAGCAGGTAACAGATTTGGATCAAAGTAAGAAAAAAAAAGTAAATGCATGAGATTAGGAATGAGATTCTTACCTTAGTGAAGCTATTTCAATCTGTGAGAAGTCCATGTTGGTTGAACTGACAGGTAAAGAAATAGTAGTCCTTTTCCTTGTGGTGGTCAATGGTGTTGGTTGTTTGATGGCTAATACTTTGCAATTCAAATTGCTTGCTATATTGTTCTGGGCCATGGCCATCCTATGCAATAAATAAATAAATAAATAAATAAAGTATCTAGTTTTAGTTGCATTATTGAATATTTCTAAGATAATATATCATTGCAGATGAAGTGGTCCGCATAGAGCGTAACGATTACCGTGAATTCATCGACCTTAACTAGTTTGAGATTGAACTAAATTGGTTGTTTAAGTTATTATAGGTGAAACAAAAAATTGTCTCGCCTAGCCGCAAGTCTTACTCATGATTTTCTAGTTCTCTTAACTATAGAATTAGGTGCAGCTACGGGTGGCAAACGGGCGTCTCGAGTCAGAATCGAAACGGGTAATGCAAATACGAATAAATTATTCGATCCATACTTAATACGGATAGAAAATGGGTTAATAGGCGACTGAGAATTCTCCCAAAGGTAATCATATTCAAGAAGCCATGGATTTACAAATATAAAAGTTAAACCCGTTAGCTATCCATTAGTTATCTATTCTCTAAGTAGATTATATGGTTCCTATCCATATTTGACCTGTTTTTAAAATCTTATTATCCATCCCATTTTTTATAGATAATATGAATGAATGACTGTTTTCTTTTATCCATTTTGCTACCACCCCGGTACAACCAAATATTTCTAATTCTATGACCTATTAGTGTCATAGTTCCCACCATACAATACAAGTGGTTCTTGCTTCATAGTTCCAGCCCATTTGTGGTCAAATATGTTAGCAGATAGGATATGAAAGGCTGGCTAGGTTTCTAGTTTCATGGCAGTAATTGTGTGTCTTTCAGTGATCAACTAGCCATACAAGAATTTGAGATACCAAAACAAATTTTAAGGAAATGTTATTCTGAGGATCATCTGATACACATGAATCAAAAATTAAGCAGTCAAATAATGAGCACACTGTTGCATGAAACGGCCGGCCAATGGGCAGTTACCGAAACGTGGCAGAGTAGAGGAGATGGCCAGTTCAGCAAACAATTAATAATTCATAAATCCTTATCCAAACAATATAATTAAATCAGTGAAGTACTGATTATAGTTAAAGACATCCGAATAGTGGTGGCAAAATGAATAAAAGAAATGGATAACCAATGAGTTTAACTCATGGATAATATGGTTATCCGCCAGTTAACCCATTTTTTATCCATATTAAATATGGATCACGTCGAATAATTTATCCGTTTTTATATTACCCGTTTCCGACTCTTTCTATATCCTACCCGCCCCGCCCGTTTGCTACCCTACATCCGAACTTTTGATAACCGTGTCCGGTCCAGCTTTCTACCTTCCACCAATAACGATTAATTTCACGGAATACGTGCTACCTCTCATCAATAACAGGTACCAGATAATTTTATTTACCCAAACTTAGATAAGAAAAATTACCTAATATCTTTTATTTCTGTTAGGAATTAAAGATGAGACCTTTTATGTGGTTCTTACCCACTTAATTGACGGCCATGCTACATCCAAAACTTCAAACATATCACAAGAGAAGTTCTAGCTTTGTAATGTAAAGGGAGGAATTTTAAGTATAGGCGGTAGGAAAAGAAAGAGAAAGAAGTTCCTTGGAACCTGCTCCAAGTAGATTAGAACATGTAATTACAATTTTCATAATGCAAATTTTAACTGTGAAAGATTGACCAAAAATTTTTTTTAACTGAAAGAGGGCTCAACATTAATCATAGCTAAATCCAAAAAGGACAAAAAAAGTGTGGGGGGCCGAAGAGGGGAGCACTTTTAGCTCCAGATTGTCACTTATTGGGTTAAAACTAATAGTTCGTTTGGCCAAGCTTTTAAAATCAGTTTATTTTGAGAAGCTTTTCTCAAAAGTGCTTTTAAAAAAAATGCTTTTGGTGAGAAGTAGCTTGTGTTTGGCTAATTAATTAGAAAAACACTTTTGAGCAGTAATTAGTATTTGGCCAAGCTTTTGAAAACTGCTTCTAAGTGTATTTTTTTCAAAAGTGCTTATCAGAAAAGTGCTTTTGGAGAGAAGCTGCTTTTTTCTGCTTCTCCAAAACTGCTTCTGCTTCTCCTCAAAAGCACTTTTTTTCCTTCCAAAAGCTTGGCCAAACACCTCAATTTTTGGCCAAAAAAAACACTTTTGGGCAGAAAAAAACTTGGCCAAACAGGCTATAATTGTGGAGAGTTGACCAACCCATGGTTTAATGCATCCATTCTTTATCCATCCATTCTCTATCTATACTGAAATAATTCAGTACACACAACCTTAATCATTTAATCAATCAGCGCTCATTTCGTTGGAGAAATAAGGAATAATTAATTCCAATATTAAATTTTAGATGAGTTTATTTCACGTTTACTTGGATAAAATAGCGGTTAGTTATTTCGAAAATTTGAGATGAGTTTATTTCACCTAATGTTATTTAGGTTTGGAGAGTGGGATAACAATCCCAGTATAACTAATCTCAAAATAACTAATCCCAAAATAGTTACTCCTGGGATAACTTGTTCCCAAACTAAATGATTCGTTTGGTACGAGGGACAAGGGATAACTAATTCCGGGATCAAATTTGAGATGAGTTTATCCCACGTTTGGTTGGGATATAATCGTGATATAACTAATCCCGGGATTGTAGTATTTTTTTATCCCCATGAGAGTATAACTAATCTCGCGATTAATTACCCGAGATAATGAATCATGGGATAATTTGTTTCCACTTCGTAAAACACTAAAGATCAACAGGAGATTGAGAAGTCAAAAACAAGAAAAGGCTTCAATCTGGGAAAGAAAGAGAATAGAGGGATTAATTTGAAACATTACCTGTAAAGAAAGCTATGATCATGAAGTCCAACAACAAGAGCAGAAGCTCCAATCTCTCTAACCACAGCAGCAATCTTTCCTCCATCTGAGTCCCCTTCAGCGACCACAATCTCAGTCTTGGTCTGTAACAGATCAACCCCAGAGAGCTATGTCTTTTATTTCATATCTGTATCAGATAACATTACAACATAAACTAAACTAACAACATCCAAAACAGAACAACATGGGATCAAAAAGACAGAGTCTCTTACGTTGGGATAATTGTTGCAAAGGTCTTGAAAAGACAGAGCCAATTGAAAACCTTTGAGGCGGAGATTCCTGAGCCTCTTATTGTTGCTCCTGGATTTTAAATTTGGGAAAACGTGGAGAAGTGTCACTAAATCCCCATAACGTAAGAAATTATGAAGAGCCCATTGAAGAGCTGTTCTTGATACTTCCAAATCTTCCACAATTACCACTATTTTCCTCACATCCATATTCATTTTCCCCAAAAATTTCTCTCAAATTAATTCCTCTCAAACTAGACCTATACAGAGCTCTAGTTTCCTATTTTGGATGTAACAAACAAAACATAAACATAAGACTCTGTCTAATTGTATTAATTTATGAAAATGGAAGTTTGCCTGCACGATTGATATTGGTTGGAGAAAAAAAGTAGTACACAAAAATTGGACGACATAGAAATGTACGGAGTAATAATATAGTGGAAATAATAGGGGTCTGTCTCTGCAGGTTGTGCGCGTACACCAGATTGGACAGCAAAGACTTAGAAACCGGCTAGAAAGGGAACTGTTTTTCTGGATTAGTGTAATGACTTTGTTACTTAATTAATGCTATAAATTAATTTGTCTAAGGCTACCAATTAATGATATTTATTAGAGTTACTTTTAGTTACTCCCTCCGTTCCAAAATAAATGATTTTTTTGGTTGTTTTCACACATATTAAGAAACTCACCTTTTAACATTAATTAGCAATGAAATTGACTATATTAACATTTACTAGCTCTTCACATAAATAATCCTAACACATAGTTCAACATTATTTACTCCAAGGGCAATGTAGGAAAAAAATAATTAATTCAATCTTGAAATCTGAAAAAATCACTTATCTTGGATCACAAAGAAAAAGCCAAAAAATCACTTATTATGGACCAGAAAGAGTATCCTTTAAAAAGCCTTGATTGCGGAAATATTTTTACACCTTTAATTTATAGAACTTAAACTTATTTTTTAATTTATTTATTCGAGTTTAATTTAGGTACATTGATACTAAAAAGAAATTTGAATCACTCTACAATATCGATTTTTATAAGATTAACTTTTTACTTTTTTATGTTCGACCTTTTTGAATTTTCACAAAGTTCTTAAATTATGTGCGCACAATGTGCATCAAACTAAGTTTTACTCCAACAAGTAACTTTTCCTCGCAAGCCTGGTATGATCTCATAAAAGATCGAGTAATAACATGTTATAACTCATAAAATTATACAACTAATGTAAAATTTCTTCATTACTATATTGATGTACTCTGTACATAGGAGTGGCAAACGGGCGGGTCAGATCAGATATGGTTCGGGTCGAAAACAGGTAATGGAAAAACTGATAAATTATCCGACCCGACCCATATTTAATACGGATAAAAACGGGTTAACCGGCGGATAATATGAGTAACCATATTATCCATGACTTCTTGCATATGATCACTTTTGGGAGAGTTCTTAGTCTCCCTAACTTGAGGAATCCCCAATTTTAGGCTTTACAAATATAAAAGTTAGACCCATTGGTTATCCATTTTCTAAATGGATAATATGGTTCTTATCTATATTTGACCCGTTTTTAAAAAAATTATTATTCAACCCATTTTTTGGTGGATAATATGGGTGGCTAACTTGAAGAGATATAAAGTCTAGTTGAGGGTACTTGTACATTGTGCTATTTAACATGTACACTTCTAGATGAGTCTATTAGTTAATTAGTTAAGACATATTAGTAGTTTTGTATATATAAAACATACTCTAGTACAATGCAGTAATGTAAGAAAGAAAAGATATACAATTTTTCTCTCTTCGATCCTCTACTTTACTCTCTGCATTTCCTCTCTTCTCACTAGATCTTGCCTCCATGTCCATGGCAGGTCTAGCTTGATTTTGACATGGTATTAGAGCAGGTCGAGTACAATATGTAATCTGAAGCTGCTAGTCGTTCTCTTCTTCTCAATTTCCCCAAATCAAGTTCTCTCTTCTTCGATTTCACTCTAGCCCTAATTTCTTATTATTGACGAATTTTGCTACGATGACGGGTGATTCTTAACGAATTGGAGTCGGAACTTCACATGCAAGCAGTCAATTGTTTGATTGCAATGGTCCGCTGTTCGTTCATCCGTCAGACACGCGGGGGATTGCGTTGGTTCCTCAATTGTTGGTCGGAACAAAGAATTACTCGGGATGGAGTCGCTCTATGAAAATGTCACTTTTAGTGAAGAACAAAATAGGTTCCATTGATGGAACCTAGACTAGGGAGAAATATGGAGCACATTCGTTCAAGTTGCACCAGTGGGATCGATGTAACGCCATTGTACAGTCGTGGATCATGAGTTCACTGGCTCAAGAGCTTAGCGAAGGTATCGATTACTCCTCGAATGAACAAAAGGTTTGGGAAGCGTTTAAAGAAAGGTTTGACAAAGTGAATGTGACTAAGGTGTATCACATGAACAGAGAAATTGGGAGTCTGACTCAAGGAATATCGAGTGTCTCAATCTATTACTCAAGGTTAAATGATCTATGGGCTGAGTTTGAGTAGATTATACCATTTCCTGGGTGTGATTGTGTAAAATCTAGAGAATTTGTTATTTTTCTACACCAACAAAAATTGATGAAGTTTCTAATGGGATTGAATGATACATATGCACCACAAAGGAGCCAAATCCTGATGATGAATCCTACGCCTACAATTGATCAAGCTTATTCAATGTTAATCCAGGAAGAAAGCTAGAGACTGAGTGGGAACTTGGGAACACAACAATAGGGCCTAAGTTTAACAATAACAATAGGAGAAGAGGAGGTTACAATGGTGCTCCAGCAATGGCACACAATGAAAATGTGAAGGCACAAGAGGAGATGTATACCACTGGGACAAAAGGCATTGGACAAACAGGAGGTTTAGCATCTGCAGCTATCTTTACCCATGATCAATATCAACAGATACCTATGTTGCTGGACAAGAACAAAGGATCAGCTGCAATAGAGATGAAAAATATGGCAGAGTCGACTGCAAATGAGACAGCCAATATGACAGGCAAATCCATTACTAACAATGGTTGTTGGATAATTGATTCTGGAGCCTCAAATCATATGGTTTCCTCCTTGCATCTATTTCCCCAATCACAATCTATACCCTCTAATTCTATTTCCAATTCTGTACACTTACCTAATGGGGAGTACTAAGATTACTCATTCAGGGTCTTGTTCCTTGCCCAATTCACAAGTTTTAGACAATGTATTATACGTTCCACAATTCAAATATAATTTATTGTCTGTCTCCAAATACACTAATGATTTAAAGTGTTTAGTAGCTTTTTATCCTGATTTCTGTCTGTTTCAGGACCTCTTCAGTGTCAAGGTGAAGGGGATTGGTAGTGAAAAGAATGGGTTGTACATTCTCAATCCTTACACACCTGCTTCTGCTCCTGCCTCCAAGTGTTTGTCTTCCTCTCTTCAGAATAACTCAAATGTTTTGTGACATCAAAGACTTGGTCATGTACCATAGAATATTTTACTGAAAATTCCTACCATTAGAAATCACTTGTCAAAATCTATTGATTGTAGTTGTCCAACTTGTCCTTTAGCTAAACAAACTAGGTTACCTTTTCCTATTAGTACTTCTAAGTCTACTTCTGAATTTGAGTTGGTACATATGGATGTTTGGGGTCCATATAGAGTTTTTACTCATTGTGGCTTCAGATATTTTCTTACTATAGTTGATGATTACTCTAGAATGACTTGGACCTTCTAGTTAAGAGTAAAAAATGATGTCTTTGTTGTTCTGAATGATTTCCTTCAATTGATTGAAAACCAATTTCTTCCAAAGTTAAAATCTTTCGATCAGATAATGGTTATGAATTCTGTAATACACTTTGATGCTCTAAACGTCAATACCACACAGGGGGGGGGTGATTTGTGTGGTACCCAATTTTTGCTTATCTGAACTATAGAAGGACCCGGTTCTTCTAGGTGTTCAACTACTGCCGGTTCTTCTAGGTGTTCACACACGAACTGCTTGCAAAAAGCCTTGCTATTTTGCTCTCAATTCACGTTTAACTTTTGCATTTTTGTGCAACACGATAATGTGAGAACATCCTGCAATTTATAGAGTTAGTAGATGAAGAAATAACTAGAGTTCTGATGCAACTCTTCCTTGGTGGAAGAGTTGTAGTTAATTTCAACTTCTAACTCCTTCCCTATCTTGGATAGTGTTCTCTTTGAGTAAGGAGTCCTTCTCCTTATCAATTATGCAACCTTTTCGATCAGGAGATATTAAATACACCAAGTTAAGCTTATCTCCTTCACGTGTATCCCACATGCTTGAATCTACCCGTTTTTGTGCACCTGCGGGATGGACCTGCGGGATGGACCAGGTTCATGTCTGACTTCCTTTGTCAGTCTTCAAAACTAACCTTTACTTGGGCCAACAAATTCCCCCTTTTTGATGATGACAAACTCTATGCTTTTCATACACTTAGGCCCTGCCAGAACTCAACTCAACATCAACACAATGTTAGTAACATTTTTCCTTTTCATCACTTATCATCAAGGACCAGGTACATTAGGTTATAAACATCACTTGTTTAAAGCACAACCTTTTTCCCCCTTTTGGTATCATCGAAAAGTTGTATAGAAATGTGAGATAACCAGATTTTAAAACTTACTCATGGCCACTGGGGCTACTTCAAATGCAATCATGAATTAATCATCATATATCAAGCTAAGAATTTTAACCATCAAAGAAATATAAACAAACAGTTAGAGCAAAAGACAGTGAATTTCATTGATGATTGATCAGATTCTACCACAGAGCATAAGAAGAAATAAAAATACTGAAAACATGAGCAAAAGAAACAAAAAATCTCGAATTGGGTTACTGGTTGATCTACACTAGGCTAGGATTTAAGGTTTGGAAGAGGTAGTGGCTGGATTATTTGCTTGGAAAAGTTTCAGCATGTCTTGAAGAATTCCATCATTCTTCTCCTTTTCCCTTGCAAGTTCAGTTCTGAGAACATTTCTCTCAGATTCTACCTCAAACAATCGTGTCTTCAGCCTTGATATCTCAGCATCCTTTGCCTCACTCTCCTATAATAGAGCTCTGACCTTTCTATTGATAGGTGTCCTTTTAGATGAACCAGGTTCATCGGGAATGGCATTGACTTCATAATCGCAAGCAAGCAGAGTATTAACCCCAAAATGATCCTTGCTTGTACCTTGAAATGTGCAAGCACAGTTGTGAGAATGAAACCATAGGGAATGGTATGAGTTTTGGTGCCATTGATAACACTATCAGTAGGTCCGCGAGGGTTTCCTGTTCAGATGGAACAGGTTCATCTATATTTTTCCCAAGTTGAACCAACCCCTCAGCAGCTTCGCCAGACCCACTTCCCTCTGTTTTGCTCACACTCTCTTCTATTTCAGTAAATTCCTCTCCCCAAACAACCATTGCACCAGTTTCTTTTGTTAGAACAACAGGAGTGGGTGAAGAATCAACCACTCTTGTACCCTTTCCCCTCACAGT